GGGGGTCATACAATTTTCAAATTACACTCCTCCAAATCCCACCAGCCCCCCCTACCCCATAAAAAATGAACGGTCCCTAATTTTCTTTTGTGAACGCAAAACCGGGCTAGGTCACATGAACAGGGCCTTATGGGCGTAACTGAGGACAATGTTTTTGCTTACGTTTCAGCTGAGGACAGCAAGTTTACACCGTTAAACTACGACAATACGTTTGCCTATGGATGCCTGCATGACATACCCATTCCATTCTCAAGCAGGCCTGATACAACATTCACTCCTGAGGAAGAAAGAGAGGTTCTTATGGAAATTTTCAACAAAACAGATGGTCGTAACTGGGAAAATAATATGCATTGGGGAAACTACTCAGTGTCTCACTGCCTTTGGTATGGAATTACGTGTGAACGTACAAGTCGCTACGTTATCAGCATCTTCTTGGAAAGCAACAATTTAGCTGAAACATTTCCAGGAAACCTTTGGAAGTTACGTAATTTACAGGGATTGTGCGTTGGTGGTAACGGTGAATTGGAAGGAAGTGTCGGTGAGATTCTCTCGAGAAATATGACAGCTTTACTAAGAGCTAGCCTCGCCTTCAACAAACTGTATGGTCCTATTCCTGGTGAGCTGTTAACACAGCTAAGGTCTATTGTAAAAATCCAGCTTTGCTGTCAAATGGGGGAAGGTATTTCTGGAAAAATACCGGAGGACATTGGAAACTTGACGGAACTGCAGGTTCTTAGCCTTGGGGAAAACAAATTGCACGGCTTAATACCGAAAAGTATTGCAAAATTGAAGAAGCTCTGGTTTCTAGATTTGGAAACTGCAACTTATCTACGTGGAGGCTTTGAAAACTTATTCAACCTGTCATCTTTACGCTTCATGCATCTTTCACTTTCTGGACTAAGGGGAGCGTTACCAAAAGAATTTGGGTCATATTTTCCTGCAATGATCGAGTGTCTTTTACCAGGAAACCATTTTTTTGGCCCAATTCCTCAATCTGTTGGCCAAATGAAAAATCTAGTGCATCTAAACCTCGCCAATAACAATTTTTCAGGACAAATTCCGAAAAGCGTTGGCGCAATTCCCAGGCTTCAAATTGCTGACCTCCGGGGAAATAAATTAACTTCACTGGAGGAAGGGTTCAACTTGAAATCCCAATCGCTTGAGGTGTTGATTTTTGCTAGCAACAGAGGGCTCAATGTCAGCTTTGGCACTTTCTTGGAAGCCATAGAACCGGTTAATCTCACGTTGCGTATTCTTAATATCAGCGAGTGTCTCTTTCATGGTGGCGTCACGGGCAAGTTATGGAAATTCCAAAACTTAATTTCCGTTGATTTGAGTGAGAACAGGTTATCCGGACAACTCCCGTCACCCCCTGATAATATGCTATTTCTCCTTGAACTTGATGTTTCCTCAAACAACATATCAGGCCAAATTCCACAACAGTTCGCAAAGTTACTTGCTTTAGAAGTTCTTGACGTTTCAAAGAATCCTCACATGCGAAAGGAGGGAGAAAGTGGAGGGTTGCCAAACTATATGACGGTTGATCTCACAACCTTAACGCAGCGAAAGCAATCCGACAATTTCAAATGCCCCAACGCGCGTCTCAGTTACAATAATGGACTAGTCGTCTTGGATCCCAACTACTACCTCTATCGCCTATGCATTTGCGATGTTGGATATTATGGTTCAGGTAAAACATGTTTACCTTGTATGGAGAACGGAGAATGTAAGGATGAGATGCTGCCTGCACAGTACATGGTTATGAAGGTGGGATATTGGCCATCTTCTCGTGACCAGAACGTGACTCATCTAGTGCAGTGCTCACAAGCATTAGGGGTAGGTTCTCACGCAAACACATCGTGCAACCCAACGGGAATGTGCAAATGTGGAGTTCAATGGCTGAAACAGGGAAACAAGTCAAGTATCGAACCATCCACCTTCTGCACCAAAACATGCCTCTGTATTAAAGGAAGCAAAGACAGATTCTGCTCGCTCTGTGAAGATGGATATTACAAACAGGGAATCCTTTGCTATGCCTGCCCAAAAGCGAGGACTAGTGTGTACATCTTGGTTGCTCTTGTTGTCTTAACCATAGTGCTACTAACGCTTGCTTTTGTAGTTTTTTATGAGAAGAAACGCTTTCTGACTATTGTGTTTGTCTTCTCTCAGATGATCCTCTTTGCGGTTTTAGCCATGCTTCGTATCATTCCCGGTTGGCTTTTTGGACTAAATGTAATCGCCCTTTTTGTTGGCTTGGCTGGAAGAGGAAAAACGGCACGTGGAATATTAAAGATAAGCGTCTTTTATTTCCAGACCTTAGACGCCTTGATTTCCAACACCGATGTTTGGCCGTACTATGTTCTTGCAGCTCAACGATATATCGGCAACGTGTTTAACCTCCGTTTCTCTGGTCTGGCTTGTGAGGTTCCATCATTGTTTACGCCACTGGGCGAGCTTCTGTTCCTTATTCTCCTACCAGTGGTCTGTATCTTGGTTATCTGGCTTTATTATTGTCTCAGTTATGCTGTACTCTGGTTTCGAAATTCTCTTGACAGGCGATTTAGTTTACGAAATAGCTGTTTACAGCTTTCCATCGTGTGCCTTAACCTTACTTACTTCCCAGTTGTCAAGAAAACGGCTTCTGTCCTGGCTCCATGCGGAGAAGATAACAACCACCATTTCCTCCTTGAAGCACCATGGCTAGAATGCGAGGGTGGAGTTTACACCATGTTACAAGTGTTTGGTTGGCTTGCTTTGGTACTGTATGTGATCGGAGTGCCTTTTGGAGTATTCTTACCGCTTCTGTTGCGCAAGGCCAGCAACAGAGAAAATCTTAATGCGGTAGAAGACCAAGAAACCTTGGACAGTTGGCTAGGATCCATCTACCTTCCATACAAGAAAAAATTTCGCTCTTATTTCGAGGTATTATTTCTTATGCGGCGAATGCTGATTGCATTCTCACTCTCCTTCATTCCGCGGGCTTCACCATTTCAGACAATCGCAATTTGTGTGGTGTTGTTAGCATCCTTGTGCTTTCAGCTTCTCTTTAAGCCCTTCAGTGACTCGTACCAAAACTTGTCGTTGGAAAACTCAGCTGAAACAGTGGTTCTTTTAAGCCTTCATTTCTCTTTCATAAACATCAGATATGCAGCCTTGAACCAGGAATCTTCCGAGCCTATTGTGTGGATGCTTGTTGTGCTTAATTTAGTTGTGATATGCGGCCTAGTTGTTTCCATAATTCTTCTACTTGGAAGGGCCCACGTTCAACAAACTCCTACTAGGGCTCCTCAAAATGAAGGAGGCGAGGAACACGAAACGGTCACAGCTGGGCAAGCAGACGCTCCGTTGATCGCTAACTACCCTTGAGAAGAACAATAGGGGGCCCTAAATTGTTCACTTGAAGTATCCGCTGTTTAATAGGTTTCGTTAATGTTTTTATTATGACCATGGAGTATTTTAAAAGGCAAATAACCCTCAGTAGACTATTGTAAGGTTTGGTTTGTGCCTCTCTGAAAACAGGACCAGGCGTCCACAAATTACGACAAAACTCATCTATCGTTTGAGTCAGTTGAGTAGCTTGAAAACCGTGAACTCCCTCACGAGTCCGAAAGAGTGCAAGTAATACTGAATAATAATCAAATGTCGCCGTCACCCACGGGTGGTTTTCATACGAGACGCGTCACTAAATTAAGACAACAGACCTTTGTCACGCGGCGGCCATTTGTCTAAGGAGATTTAAAAAGCTTTGTTTATGCACGGCTCGGCCTGCGTAGAGAGAACGAGGCCAGCGGTGCGTAAACCAGGGCGATAAACAAAGCTTTTTAGATCTCCTGACACAAGTGGCCGCCGCGTGGCAAAGGTCTATGCTAAACACTAAAATAAACACTAAAATAGACAGTAAAAACTACAAAGTCTGCTTGTTCCTATCTAAAATTGTACTAGAAATTGTAAAACAGTGTTCTGAGCTTTTCTAAACCTGCGAACATTTTCACTGTTTCTGACTTTAAGAGGAATCGTTACATTCTTTGAATAAAAAAAAATAAAAAAATAAAAAAGAAGAAGAACGTAGTTGGCCTTTACTACAATTCTCAAATCGCTGGCAATACGCGTTTGGTATTAGAAAAAGTGATAATTGGGATCCAAAAAGCCTTTAAGATGATAGGCAAGTCAATGAATGCGCTATCGAATCCGAAGATTACCGAAGCTCGATAATCGCCTGAGAAGATGATGGGGTTGAACCATATTTCGACCATTAACCTGCTCATGAAAAGTTCCCATGTGATCCAAGGGTAGCACTGTTAACATCATAAGAAACTATCAAACTATGCACTAACCTACGGGGTTCCCATTCTTTTTTTGATTCCGAGCGCTATTGGTTTCCTTTTTTGAATGTTCTAGCGTTGGATTCAATAACCGTTCCGATTGTGCTTCAAGCAAGGGTCACAAAAGCTTCCCAACACTAGTTGCCCGAGAAAGATTAGCATAAGCTACGTAAATATTAAGACCCAAGGTAGGAAAATTAATTTTTGTGTTAAGTGGCCATTAATCACGATGGCGTAGACCGTAACTAAACATGACCACGCGCATGATAGTGCCACCAACACTTACAAATAAAAGAGCTATATTAACATCTTAAGAGCATTCCTCCACTCCAAACTTAAGGAATTGCAATTAAGCACATTCGCCGAAAAGATAAAAAGACATCTCTTGAAAGCTAGCATTATCATAGTACAAGCTCTGGGGAAGACATAAAAACAAATGGAAAAGTCAGCAAAGAGCAAGCAGCAACAGCAGGTGAACACTGGCAAAACGAGGTACGAGAGAGACATGGCAAAGTCCTTTGCCGTCATTTATCACAATCTGAAACGCCTGCGAGAAGACAAACAAAATGAGCATAAAAGGGTGAGAAGAAGCCTCAGTGAGCCACAAATTCCTGCATTAACGCAAACCGAACACCAGCCAATCGGGAATAGACGACGATCAGATTCAATTGCAACCAGGTCTGCTGGTACAACAGATTACAAGAGAAGAGTGAGCTTTTGTGATAGCTTGAAATGAGTCCAGCGTCACTTCCGGACAATATGTCTAGAGTCACCGTTAAACGCAAAAAACAATTCCCTCGCCTTTGTCACTAGGCAGTTAAATGTGTGAACCTAGTGTGAAATGCTTGAGCTGTGTGAACCTAGCCATCTACATGACAAGCAGCATGCATGATGCTGGCCGAGTGGAGTGTTGCACGGTGAGGACCAACATTGTAGATTGACACGGCTTTGACGTTTGGGTGGCTCGTTAAACGGAGTTAATAGCTGAGCTTAATAGTTGCCTTGTGAGAGAGCACTGCTTTACTAGAGTGTGTTAGAAAGTTCTGCTGTTTCACTTTTGAGGGGCACCCAACGACGATTTTCAGAAAAATATCTGTTCGGAAGACGATTTGAGATCTAGAATTTTTGGAACATTTGTTGTAAAATTTCTTGCTTGCCTGCCTCTCCTAGGATTTTCGAACATCTAAAAAATGGTAAATTGCCCATTTTCAACGGATTTTTACCCTAAAAAGGTCATCTAGAATTTTCGGGAGCCTTTTTTCTTGCTGAAATTTTCGAACAGGTAAGTTTTGATCCCTATAATTTTCGGATCACTAGACTTTCAGCTAGGAAATCCGAACAGATGAAAAATTTATAGGGGATAAAAATATGCCCATATCCACCGTTTAAATACTAAAACACTTTTAACAATGCTATGTTTAAGTGGTTTTGAACTATATTCTCGTTGGGTGCCCCTGACTTTTGGCTCATAATTTTCTACAGGATTAATCTGAATGATAATATTTCTTTAATATCTTCAATTCTACAAAAAATAATCAGATTACTACTACCTCTGAAAATTATAATTTTAAGTCTCACACTTTACTTCTATAGAGGATATTACACGGCGGCGCAAAGATATGAATTTTGTTTTTCGAGTGGTGAAAACAATATTGTTTTTCTCCACGAGAAAATAAATTTCATATCTTCAAGCTACCGTGTAATTTTCTTGTTATTATATACACAAGAGTGTTTACCATTTGTCTTTTTAATTTCTCACTCCCAGAAGAAATGTTTTCGGGAACTGCTGTAGTTTGGCGGCAGGAATTTCTTGAAGTTCTCTTCTTTCGTCTTCACTAGTAAGGAACTCCTTGAATATTTTTAAGTCATACAAAGTTCTCTTCTTCGTTTTAACATTCTCCTGCTCTTCAGAGAGAGATTTTATGTCAGCTTCAGATAACTTTACGAATCTATCACTCGCCATTCTTCTGTTATCATTTGGCAAACTGTGCACAAACAACAGTTTGAATAGAAAATGAAGTTATAGATATCTTTACTAGTGAGGATATGAAAAATACACTACTCAGTCGAGTTCCGGATGTAGTTTCGTATGAACTTTACGAGCGGTTTATTATCCACTAAAGCACTCTTATCTATATAATAATAATATCATTCCACTCACTGAAATCTAGCTTTGCTAAAACCTGAGTTAGCTTACTTTCGATCCTGTTGTTTATCTCAATGTTGTGAGTAAGAGGCTTGCTGTGGACGCCGTTTTAAACGATCAACTAGGGACTAGTCGCTTAAAAGGAAAATTTAGTACGTTCTTCCAGTCTTTATCGCGATTATTCGTGCCAATTTACTTTATCAAAAGTAGGCGAACCACATGGAGTTGAATTCCTAGGATCCCTATCCAAGTTCAGAAAGACTGGAGAAATAGAGTTTCGTTGTCGCTTGTTACCTTCAACTTGGAGAAAGTTATAACTGCCCCCACTCGTGGTGGTAGGATCCTGGAACTTTTCTTCACTTCAAATCCGCCCCACATAGACTCTGTGGAAGTGATTTCTGGTCTTGGTGATCACGACATTGTACAAGTGGAGGTATCAGTCACACCCTAGACACCCCGCCCAGTCAAGAGGAAAATATTTGATGTACTCCAAGGGACATTTTGCTGATATCAAATCTGAATTATTGGACTTAAGCCTATATTTCTTGGATAATCTGCGAGCAGGAACGGTATACAGGAAAAATGGAATATGCTAAAGCAAAAATTATTCTCCCTTGTGGAGAATTACATTCCTGTTAAGTATACATCAACCAGGTAGTAACCCTCCTTGGTTTAATCAGACCTTAAGAAAATTAAACCGGAGAGTTCAACTGTTATATAATGTACAGAAACGAATCAGATCATGATAGAGCTAAGTATAGAGATGCTAGGAAGATATAAAAGAAGAGTCTCAATAAGTCCTATCAGGACTATGGTTTACTCGATGCCTCCATACTTGAATAGCCCAAGAAATTTTTGGAGCTTTGTTAAATCTAGAAGACAATATAACGTTGGTGATTACCTATTACAGCAAGATCTTACAACTGTTTATGGCGGACAGTTTAGGCAAAGCGAACACACTGAATAATTATTTTTATTCTGTATTCACTAAGGAGGATAAAAGTTATATGTCAAGTTTAGATCCTAATTCATCCTACCCAAATATGGACCAGATAGTGATTACATCTACAGGCATTCAGAAACAATTAAGATTCTCTAAATGTAAATAAAGCAGGTGGTCCTGACAAGGGGCCTTCACGTATTTTGTAGGAACTCTCCTTTGGATTAGCTCATTCCAGTGCTTGCACAGCTTTTCCAACAATCTCTAGATCAGGGTATGCTACCTGGTGACTGGAGAACTGCAAATGTTGCTCCAGTCTTTAAAAAGGGCAAAAGGTCGCTTGCGGGTAATTACAGACCAATATCACTAACAACAATTACTTGCAAAGTCTTAGAGCGTGTCATTTGCCACCATATTTGGGAACACTTTGAGAACCATAATATACTCACAGACTTCCAGTATGGTTTCCGTAAACGAAGAAATTGTTAAACCCAAGTTATATCACATTACAGGATTTAGTGGATGCGGTAAATAATGGTAATCGATGCCCTTGTATTAGATTTCTCTGAGGCATTTGATCGAGTACCACACCAAAGACTACTCTATACGCTAACATGCTGTCCTGGATTGGGTTGTTTCCGACCCAGAGAACACAGAAAGTAACCTTGGATGGAATTGCATCTAATCGATGTGATGTAATCTCCAGTGTCTCCTCGAGGTACTGTGCTGGGACCGCTGCTTTACCTATTATAGATTAATGACTTGCCATTAAGTATTTCCTCAACAATAAGGTTATTTGCTAATGATTGTTCCCTGTATCGTACTACTATAACTGGTCCTT